AGGCCACACAATGTCAGATCTTGCCTTTAGAACAGGGAACAGACAATGTTAGTCCCGGGCGAGATTTAAGGACACATTTTTTGTTGTTCAGTTGTTTTCCAGTTATATCTAATTCTCTGTGATCCCATTGGGGATTTTCTTGGCAGAGATACTGGAGTGATTTGCCATTTTCTTCTTCAGATCATTTTACAATTGAGAAACTGAGGTAAACAGGGTTAAGTGACTTGCCCGGGGTCACATAGCTAGTAAATATCTGAGGCAGGATTTGAACTCAGGAGGAAGAATCTTCCTGACTTCAAGCCTGGCACTCTATTCACAGCACCACCTAGCTGCCTTTTCAGAACACGGAGGAAACAAATCATGTCAGATTTAGAAGGAATCTTAGAAATGCCTTAATTAAATCCCCCCCTTGGAAGCTAAAGCACCAAGAGAAGAAAACTATTTACCCAAGGTAATCAACTTCACCCCATTCCTAAGTGATAACGTATGTCCCGTCTTCTAATATAACCTATACTCAGTGTGGTGTTTCATAGCAGATTTCTTTAGACGCGTTATAAGCCAAGTGCATGAACAGTAGAATCTATAAAAGTGAAACTACTTATTGACAAGTTATGGCTAAAGGGGCATAAGGACAGACAAGAGTCTAGAAGGGAAATACTTGTTTCTTGTGTGTTTTGAAGTCTAGTAAGAGAAACTAAGGCATTTAAAGACATTTTTATCACTTGTGGTGATGGTGGTGGTTAGTGATAATGTTTTGCATTTCTACAATGTTTTTAAAAACTTTTTTTCCCAGAGGATTTCCACATTTTCATCTCATTTTTCATCAAAATATTCTTGTGAAATAGGTGGCCTAAAACTCCTAGAGCAGGAGAAAGAATATTGGACTTAGAATAAGAAGACTTGAATTTAATTTCTGGCTTAGCCAATGACTATCTGCATGACCTTGGGAAGTACCTCCTCTTAGCCTCAGTTTCTTTATTTGTTAAGTGGAGATAATAACACACTACTTCCCTCACAGTTATTTATTTTGTATACCTCAAAGCACTATAAAAATATGAGTTGTTCCTTGCATTGCTGAGAAGGGTTAAGTCTATCAATGTTAGTCATCGCACAACATGGCTGTTACTGTGTACAACGTTCTCCTGGTTCTGCTCACTTCACTCAAGTCTTTCCAGGTTTTTCTGAAATCTGCCTGCTCATCATTTCTTAAAGCACAATAGTATTCCATTACATTCATGTACCACAACTTGTTCAGCCATTCCCCAATTGATGGGCATCCCCTCAATTTCCAATTCTTTGCCACCACAAAAAGAGCTGCTATAAATATTTTTGTACATGTGGGTCCTTTTCCCATTTTTATGATCTCTTTGGGATATAGCCCTAGAAGTGCTATTGCTGGGTCAAAGGGTATTCACATTTTTATAGCCCTTTGGGTATAGTTCCAATAGCCCTTCTCAGCAATGCAAGAATCTAAGACATCTCCAAAGGTCTCATGATGGAAAATGCTATCCACATCCAAAGAAAGAACTATGGAGTTTGAATGCAGATTGAAGCATAATATTTGCTATTTTTTTCTTCTGTTTTGTTTAGTTTCCTCTTTCTGGAGTGTCCTCCTATTGGTTCTTACAACATCATTAATGTGAAAATATGTTAATAGGAATGTATATGTATAGCCTATATCAGATTACAAGCCGTCTTGGGGAAGGAGAGGGGGGAGGGAGAGGGAGAAAAAATTAAAACTCAAAAGCTTATGGAATTGATTGTTGATAAATCAAATTAATAAAAAGGAAAAAAAATGTGAGTTGTTACTATTAAAATCCCTGCCCATTTGTCAAAAATTTTTTGAACTGGATATTACCTTAGAAGCCATCTTGTCCAAATTCCCAATCAGTGAAGGAATCCTTTCTGCCACAGCTCACTTTTCCACAAGGCATTTCATTCCACTATTGGGAACCTCTAATTATAAGGAAATTTTCCTTCTGTTTAGCCAAAATCTGCCCCTCTGTAATCCTCAACCCTAGTTGTTTCCTTGGGACAACATAGAATATCCACACCTTTTTTTTTTTTTTTTTTCTATGAGACAGTCCTCTAAATATTTACAGGCAACTACGATGGCGCTCTTCAGTATTTTGTTTTCTCTTCTTGATATGACATGGCTATCCTTTGTCATCCTGGGAGCACTCCTCATAAGGCATAGTTTCCTGATGATCTTTGCAAGTGAGCTTGTTAAACTTCACTTTTCTGGAATTTTTAAAATGAATGGTAGACTGTCTCAGGAGACTAGCTAAAAGAAATTTGATGGTAGAATCAAGGGTTTTAGTCATAGTGTTGCTAGTTAAACTCCACATAAACTTGTGGGATCTGATCATCTACTCATTTAACACTGCATGGTTTGGGAGGGGTAGAAGAGGATAGTTAGCATGAGTAGAAGAGAAAAAGCAGCTGTGAGAAGAAAGGAACAAATTTTGAGGAATAAGTAAAAGAGTAAACAGCAAATCAAGGTTTAAAGGGCACTGTAGGGCAATTTTCAGTTGTTCATAAGGCATGGAAGTGAATTAAAACCCTCTTAAGAAAACAAGACTGTCCTTCTGTATCCACTATCACTTTCCAAATTCAAGCAATAAATCAGTGAATTGAGATTTCATTTTGCCCTAACAATTCTTGAAAGGCCAAACTCTGAACTGTATTACACTAAGGACTGACTCATCTAATTCACACAGGAACAATAGTTTTATTAAGAAATTCTTTCATTTCTGTTCACATAGGCAGGAATAATACTTCCCAGGCTTAATATGGCTTCTAATTAAGTTTTACAAAAATGCATGTAATTCTTTATTCATTTGTGAAAGAAATCTTCCTTATTTTTTCCTATAAAAAATTATGGGACCTATTTCCTTAATATGAAATCATGTAATTAAACTTCAGGAACACTAAAGAAAGAAATAACACAAGAGTTATATTAAATACCACATTTTTAGGAAGTCACATTTAAGTCACCTTATAGCAGTAGGATCATAGTTCAGTTTCAGTTGAAACAGGTATCTAACAGTAGGATGCTTACCTGAAATATTCTAAATTATTAGACTGAAAAACTAGGATGTGACTATGAAAACAGCCTTTCTATTTTCTATTTTTTTTAAAAAATCTATCTATTTCACAAAAATGTATTATGAGGTTTGTTCTGGCAAGGTACTTTCTAGCTGTGGCCAGAAAAATGCAGAGAAAAGTTTCACTAATATCAAGAACAAATTATTTGAAGACTTGAGGTTGTCATAAAAGATTCAAAATCTGCTTTACTCTACAAACTGTAAAGATTTAATCCACATAGTGTAAATGAGTTTGAGTACTATGAGATCCATCAGTCTACTTATTGACATGAAAGTTCTTAGAAAGATTAGAAGGGAAAAAGCACAGATTCTCCTTGGAGATTTTAAAGGAAAGAATAGGTAGCTACTTGCCCTGGCTAGTTTACATGTTCACCTATCAGAAATCGGGAAGCTGGAGGAGGTAGATGTTTTCTCAATGGTCCTTTTCCAATCTACTATCCTGAGATTCAGTAGACTGGAAATAATTAACTTCAACAAGCATTTATTATATATGAAACATTGTGGTAGTTACTGGAAATTAAAAGTCTAAAATAAAGTTCACCTAGTAGTCATGAAAAGCACAGAACTATATAGCACTCACTCTAGCTGGAAGGAACTCCAAAAACCATTTAGTGAATCTCCCTCACTTTGCAGTTGAAGAAACTGAGGCCCAAAGGAATTAAGTAAGTTACCCAATGTCACCCAGGTAATTAAGGTAAGAAGTAATATTTGGACCCATGTCCTTTGACCTCAGGACTAGCATCCTTTTCACTGTCCCAGATACTCTTAGGTGAAATAATGGTATGTTTACAGAAAAAAAAAAACCCTACCAACTTAAGATTGTTATGTAGAAGATGCAACAGCCATTAATGAACTATGCTGTCTTTGATTCCAGAAAATTGTTTATCTGGTTTCTGAATTTGATTCAATTCATATATCCTTATGAAACTAAAAAATACCCTTTCACCCATTCCTAACCATCCAACAAGCCCCATCACCAGCTTTGCTATGTGCCACAAGAGCAGAATAGGCAGGAAGAGCATGAAGGGTAGGAGTGGTTACCACCTTCTCCTCCATCCCCACCCCAAACATGAATTTCCATTAACTAATAGTTCATTCACATTGCCCCAGGTAGATTCCCTCCCCTTTTTTTTTTTGACTTCTCACACTCTTTCACAAGACTTCTTAGTGAATGACAGAACTGTGATTTATATCGGTTTTCAAAAGCATTGTGAACTTCCCTTTCCTCCCACACTTCTCTCTTACTCTGAAGCACTCAGAACATTTCAGTTACAGAATCACCCAACCCAAGAATTTGAAGAAAATCACTGAAGGATTCTAGTCCAACCTTACCTAACCAAGACTCTTTTTTACAACATCATTGATAAGTGGTCATCTCGCCTCTGATTAAAGATCTCCAGTAATGGGGAACCCATCATCTCCTAAGGCAGCCCATACTATTTTGGGGCAGCTCAAAGTCTTAGGCAATTTTGTCTTGTGTGGAGCCCAAATTGACCTTTCTGTATCTTCTGTCCAGTGTTCTTAATTCTTCCTTCTCGGACCAAGGACAACAAACTTGGATGTTCTTTAAATACTTGAAGGCAGCATTTATGATCTTCCTAAACCTTCTCTTATTTAGGCTAAACTTCCCCAGTTTCTTCAAATGATCATCCTATGGCATGGTTTTCAGTTAGCATTCTGGTCAATGGATTAAAGATTTGCCTTGGAATATAGGTGGGAAAATACTGGTTTCTTAGGTTTTTCTGGTGGGTTATTAGATAATTCATCTTTTATTCTGCTTTTACTCTTTCACCACCATCACAATCCCTGCTTCCAAGAAACACTTAAAATCCTTTGGTAATGTCCAGTATTGAAACATTAAGTGTTATCACACTCATAGAATCTTATACTTACCACATTGCTGCAGGTTCTATATCGAATATTACGTCCTTCACAGCTCCTATGTCAGAAAAAGAAGAAGTAATAATAGTTATATGTGTTCCAAACTTTGGAATTTTGTAGCTGAGACCTTATATGATCATCAGAGTCCAACTCTGTATCTTACTAGTAATGAAACTATGGCCCAACTCTCTTGCATGATAAGAATCTTTTTTGTCACTAATGTAGTAGACTTCCTCTTTCAGAGAACTATTAACAAATATTAAAATGATGAGATTTAAACTAGATTATCCCAAACTGTTAATTATCTAAACTAGATTATCCCAATCCCAAACCACACATCCCTGGTATTCATGGATAAGCAATCCAGAGCTAGTGTGGAATGGTGGGAAGAGCATTAGAGATGAAATCAAAAGGCCTGGATTCAAGTCCCAACTTTCCCATTGAACAACAATTTAACCTTGAGTAAGTTGATTCACAACTACAGAATTTTGTTTTTTTTCTCTATGAAGTGAGGGCAATGGGCTAGATGACAAATCAGATTTTCGTTAGCTCTAGTAGTCTAAATATAATGCCAGCTGCATCCTTACCAAAATCTGTCTATTAAAAATACTTAATACATGTAGCAGTATAGGGGTGTGAAAATAGACTTTATTTTACATTGATCTATAATTTCTCTGACCTTCTTCTATTTTTGGGGGTTCCCTTGGCTCCTTAGACAGTCTTTTTGGATTCTTTCAATATATTTCAAGACCAAAAGTGTTTTGTGACCAAATTAACTTTGGAAAGACTAGGTTAAAGAGATATTACATCTAGGTTTTGATTAGTATGATAATAAATCCCATGAAATAGATGCATGTATTTTAATTCACACTATTCAAAGTTATAATTGTGTAAAATATGGCAACTGGTTCTAGCCCAGTGGAAATATGCAATGCAAATTCAAATAATGTGACCACTTCCATGAGATTCATTATTTACACTAATTAGGACCAATCTATTCCTTCACTAGAGTAGGAGCTGATACTAGATTTCATTGCTACTATAATTCTACTTACTCCCCAAATACTTATGATACATGCTTAGAAATCTTTGTTATCTGAGAGAAAAGACATCCTAGAGCAAAGTTTTCTATAAAGCACATTTCTTTTCAATGAATCTTATTTTCCTTTTGATTTCATTATAAAATTAGAGAGGAGTTACATGAGAGGAAAAGATTTGTCAACGCATATACTTACTAATATTAAACAATACAACACATATATTTTTTAAAAACCGTACTTAAAAACTGTCTTGTTAAGAAAGCATATGTGGTAATACTCAAAACATTAACATAGCTATTATGGTATTCTGAAAATAAGTAATTTTTTTTTTTTAAAGCGGAAATGAAAATACGATCCAATCTGATTCAACAAACATTTCCTATAGAGGAATTATAAGGTTTTCAATCTGGAAGAAATCTTAGAGTTCATCTAGTCCAACCATCTCATTTTATAGATGGAAACACTGAGACTCAGAGAAATTAAGCAACCTGCTCGAGATTATTAGGCACTTTGATACCCATCCAATTCTATTTTCCATCTTCTGACTATTAAGTTGTCAATCTCTAAATTTTTAACAATGCTGCTAAATTTTTCACCAATTTCAGTCTTAGCATTAACTTCAATTCCAAGGCAATTATCTTTTATACAATTGCATTTATTGGCCCTTTCTAAGACTTTTTCAACTGTTAGCACCTATGGAGTGCATTTACATATCCCTGGATAATAGATCATAACCACGTACATCGCTAAGAATTGAAATATTTAATCCCTGCTTAGCAATGGCCCTTTGCCATGATATCTGCTAGGATACAACAGTGTCCAACAGCTAACATCTGATAATGATCAAGCAAATTATTAAAGTGTGCCTGTAAATGTACCATTCTACTGAGAATCTAGTGTTTTGTTTATTTAGTTGAAAACTGGGGTCCTCATTACTGGGTGTTAGCTCAGTAAAATAGCATTCGTTGAGTGTGACAAAGGGCTAATCATTGGGCTGTGGGCTACAGAGGTTATCATCGAGTCGTCTAGCAATGGGACAAGGGACAAAATAATGTGTGAGACTCTTCGGTAATAAAGCTGGTGAAAGAAAAAAGGGCTCTTATTTACCGTGAATCTTTAATTAATGATTTACTGAACTCTAGAATAAGGTTAAGGATATTTATAAAAAGTGAGGGATTCCTATACAGATAGTCTATATGTGTCAAAAGAAGTCTTTTGGCTCTTGTCTTAGTATTTTTTAAAAAAGATATCAGTATTTATTGGTGAAATTTCCATGTGCTAATTGTATAACTTAATAGAGTCCATCATTTTACAAAAGATTGACTTTGTTAAAGCAGAATAAAAATTTCACTGAAATTAACAGAGTGACTATTCTAAAATGAGGATTGTACTCTTGCCATCTAAAGTTTTACATTCAGAGAATTATTGATTTATCTGGGCACAAAAACTCATCTGAGAATTAAATGGTGAAAATATCATTTATTTTTATACTTCATTAATATAAAACAGCCAAATAGTTTCCTTCACATTTAAACAAAATAAAATTCACCTCTGGGAATGAAAACAAACATTGAAAATCTCAGCTCTTAAATCATTTTGGAGTTGTTATGGAGCATTCATAATGGAGGATCTAAGTGACTGTGCCTTCTCTCCCATAACTGTACAACCATAATAGGAAGGTGTCTCCTGGTATAGATACATAGAATTAGGGGCTTACAACCTTAGCTACGACAGTAAAGTAAGTGAATATATCTAGAACAAAGGTTTTGATGAAAATTTATTTTTTATTTTTGTTTATCATATCAACTCTTCCTGGTAGCCAGTATTTAATCCTAACCAATTCCCCACCCCCTACCCCTCAAAAAAAGGAGATAACCCTTTTATATGTTGCGTGGCAGTCTTCTTTAAGCAGACTTACAACAAAGCTGAGGTAAGTTGGAGGCACAGTTTCTTCGTCCCTCATTAGCACAGAACAAACCGTACCACTTCTTCCACTTCTCAAAATCCTGATGTTATCTCAGTTTCAATGATTAAAACTTACCGACCTTGGAACAGATGAATTGCTATGGAAAATTTAAAGCCCCACTGATTGGATGGCTTTCGTTCCTCCCCTCCCTCCAATTCGTATTGTCTAATTCTTTAAAAGGGAAAGGATGACTCATGTTTAGCCCTTATTATGAATAAACAAACTCTCTTTGATAATTCAAGTACCTTAGGCTGCTTCTACTTGTACATTTTTCTTTGCTGAAAGAGTAGCTCCTCTGTGAACAAATGCATCCTTCTGAAGGTCGAGCCAGGCCTACCCCTAGTAAGGGGACATGGGACCATGTAACCTAAAACCAGAGGGCTCTCCAGAACAGCACCATTTGTATTCAGCTCCTATAAAGATGCAGACTCTTACCTTTGGACTATAAAAAAACCAGAGGAGTGTTAAGTGAAAACAGGTTACTGCTCTGGATTGCTCTTGATTTTCAAATATGGGATCACGGGCAAAGAATTTTGAAATAGGAGAGTCCATCTGCTTATATATCTTTTTTCTCCCCAAAAAACCCTTTTAGTCATTCAAAAGGAAAGAATGAGCACTTTATGAGAGAGAGAGAGAGAGAGAGAGAGTAGACATAAAACCATCTTAGAGATTCAAGCCAGAAGGACCCCAGGCCGTTTAGACTATTGGTCCTAAAATGACCGCGGATTAAAGAAGACAAGCTAATTTACAGCCAGAGCAGGGATTTCATATAGCTTTTGAATAACTATTTTTTTCTTCATCCCTTCATATAAGCATTTGAATTTTTAGCAGATTTATGCAGTCAGAGGATGCCCGAAGAAACTACTTATAACACTCCCACATTTCTGAGGTTTTTCCTAAAGATATTAGGAAGACCCAAGAATCTTGTACTCTTCAACAAACACCCCTGTCTGTGGGGTTTGCTGATTAGGGATGTTTTCATTTTTCACAAGCTAAAACATCAATGTAAGATTTTTTTAAGGTTCATACTGTTATATTACTCTGAATAGTCACTGAAAACAAAATTTAACAACACAGAAGTGAGTATTAATGTATGTGAAAATGGGAACATGTATGCCTAGACTGGGTTGGTCTGAGAGGTTCATTGTTATTCATTTAACTGAACAAGAACTTATTAAGTCCTGAGAACTATGCTAGATGCTGAGGATATGAAGACATAAGTGAAACAGGCTTTTTCTTCAAGGATTTACGTTCTATCATGGCAAACAACATGTACATAGAAAGTTAAATAAAAAATATATACAAATTAATTTCCAGGGAAGGGCACTAGCAATTAAAAGCTGGGGATTAGCATGGGATTCCTGTAGAAAGTGGCACCTGATCTGAGCTTTGAAGGAGAGAGTCCTTAATGACCCTTCAGCTGTGAACCCCAAGAGATCCATGCAATGTAATTGTTCCATTAAGATTGTACATTAGCTAACTACATAAAGATAATTATAGTGATGTCATTTTGGTCCTCTTAGAGTATGAAGGACAACAACTATATAAAGATAATGATTCATGCACAAGGTACTTAATTTGTTGGAGATAGTTTATTTAAGGGGCAGTCTTGCCAGATGTTATTTCTACATCCCTTTTTGCTCTTACTACTCTACGATCAGGGCAGCCAGGATGCAGAGTGGATAGAGTGCCAAGGCTAGAGTTAGGAAGACTCATCTTCATGAGTTCAAATTTGGCCTCAGATGCTTATTAGCTGTGTGACCCTGAGCAAGTCACTTAACCCTGTTCCTCAGGTCCTTGTCTGTAAAATTAGATGGAGAAGGAAGTGGCAAACCACTCCAGTATCTTTGCCAAGAAAACCTCAAATGGGGTCTTGAAGAGTCAGATATGACTGAAATGACTGAACAACAAGTCTATTATCTACTCAGGATCAGTATTTACCTTTTCTTTCTTCACTCCATCTTCTGCAAGTATATTCCATGTGTGAAACGGCCCCCTTCCACTCATCTGTGATACATTGTCCTTTCCTTTTTTTTTTTAAATGTTAAGAAA